TTCATGTCATCACGAGAGATATTTGCTCACATACTTAAATTATTAATCAAGTTGGCTCGCTAGTTACAATGTTGAGACATCTCATGAGCTCAAAATGAGATAGTTCATCAGTCGAACTCAACAAGCCACATAATCGAGCTAGTTCACGACCCTCACGAGATGAACAAGGTTAAGCTAAAGCTCGGCTCGTTCATAAACGTATCAAGCTTTTATTGGATTGAACGAGCTATTACGAGTTCGAAACCGAGCCGTTCGTGAATAGCTTGGTTCATTAACAACCCTACCAATAATGGAGGAGATGAAGGTAGAAGGGGAAGGTGTTGATTTTTCTTTGATTTAGGAATTTATTCTTGGTGGGTAGTTGGGTTGGTGGGTCGGGTTTGGGTTGGTTAGAGGGTTGGGTAGGTTGAAATGAGCTGGCGGGTCAGACTATTTTCGGGTTAAATAGTGCTGATTAGACGATTGCGTCTGCCACGTCATCACTTAACGGACTCATTTAACGGAAATGGACGGCAACTAATGGAGAGTGACCAAACGTGAACGCTTTTTGTAAAGTGAAGTACCACCAATGGATTTAAATATTTCTAGTGACCAAACTTGAACGTTTTTTGTAAACTCAGTGACCATCCATGCAATTAACTATAGGTGTCAATCGGGCGGGTTCGGGCTGGGTTCAAGCGGGTTCGGGTTCAAACGGGTTGCGGGTTAGTCGGGTTGCGGTTTCATCGGGTTCGGGTTCATCGGGTTCGGGTTCAAACGGGTTGCGGGTACAACGGGTTTGGGTTCAATCGGGTTGCGGGCAAATCGGGTTGCGGGTTCATCGGGTTTTGGGTCGGGCGGATCGGGTTTCGGGTTGTTCGGGCTAGCGCATCAAGTAACTTGACTCATTACTCATTACCAAGTTACACATTTTATTACACTAATTTAAAATATTTTCTCAACTTTTTAACCAATTTATTTTGACCTCGTATACATATACTTTATTTTTTTGAAAAAAACTAGTCAAAATCAAGGTTCTAAAAGGCGCTAGGCATAAGGCAGGCGCTCGGCTCCTGACTTGCGCCTTGCCCGATTAGGTGTAGCCTAGGCGCGTCTAGGCGTTCAGAGCATAAATGGAAAAATTCTCAAATATTTTCTGTTTTCTGGAATAATTCATATAATCCAAGTGCATATAAAATTAGCAATGCCTAGTTCTTAACAGTAAACACTTAACATAACAAATAACAAGCAAATAGTGACCAATCATCTGCTAATAGGTACTTATAGAGGCAATAAGCTTGTGCTACATACCGAGGAGAAGGAAGGAGCAACAATTGACGAGTTTCGACTTTATTTCCCACTATAGCAGCGGAGTGGTGTGAAGGCGAGAAGAGTGATCGATGACTTTCTCCTGCGGCAGCAGAGAGCAGAAGGGGCGAGAGCTAGGGCGGCTGGCGGCAACAGATGTTACTTCCCGTGTTTCTGATTTTCTAGGGCAAGAGGCAAGTTTCTGATTTTCTAGGACAAAACGAAGAGTATTGGGTTTAACCGCCTAAGCTCGCCCAGGAACGCCCAGGCACGCCTTCTCTCCACTAGGCGCAAACTATGCGCTATTCCTATCTACTAAGCGCTACCAGCGCCTTTTACAACGCCTATGCCCAAGTCAAGGCGATCCTCCACCGCCTAGCGCCTAATTGAGCCTAGGCGTGCGCCTAGGCGCGCCTTCTTGAACCCTGGTCAAAATGTTAAATCAATTTGTATGACTTGCAAACTTGTTATGTAATTAATCATAATTGGTAAAGTATTATAGCTAATAGTAATGGTGATATCAATATTTGCAACCAAAAGACAACATTAATTGTTTATTTGATATTTTAGTATTAATTCAGTAGTAATTGGATTAAAGTATCTCGTTTAGTATAACCATGCAAATCTGGTATTTGGCGTGTGGTATTTGGCAAAAGCATAGTGATAAAAGGAGTTATTTCGAAATAACTCATTGCCCAAATAACTTTAGGGTTCGTTTGGATGGAGTATTTGTATGAGTTATTTGGGTTCAAATAACTCATAATGAGTTATTTGGACGCAAATAACTCATTTGGCAGCGTTTTCCTGAAATGAGTTATTTGGACAGTGAGTTATTTACAAATAACTCAAAACGAGTTATTTGAAATAACTTATACCCATGTGTTATTTCGAAATAACTCGTTTTATCACTCTGCTTTTACCAAATACCACATGTCAAATACCACATTTGCATGGTTCAACCAAACGAGATACTTTATTTCAATTACCATTGAAATAACACTGAAATACCACATGAAGAATAAATGAGTTATTTGACTTTGCAAATACCACATTGACAATTAACCCATCCAAACGACCCCTTAGTAAACTGTTTCCAAACGAGTTATTTGTAAAATTGTTCGAATTATCCTAAAAATTGAACCATTAAAGATTAGCTATCAAATTTAGTTAAATTATTGTGACTTCAATCATAACTTACTCAATATCATGTATCCTATACACTTAGCCTTACCCTCAATCAACAATATTAAGTTAGTATATGTTGTTGATTGTATATCCTAAACCATCAATACATTATACACTAACCACATAACCTATACCCTATACCCTAACCATATGTCTTTGAGTTGTGATTTTGCTAGTATAGTTAATTTAAAAGTGAAATTCATACTTTGATTTTCAAAACATAGATAAAAAGTGATATTTGCTCATTGTTATACCCTAACCATATATCCTATACTTTACACCACATACCTTGTACCCTAACCACGTACCATAAACATAAATTAAAAAGGGATCTCCTGCCGTTAAAGACTTCAAATGACTTCAAGTTAACATATTTTAATAAAAAACTTAGAACCGTCAAAACCATCAATATCTTATACCCTAACCATATACACCATAAACCATATGTACCTTATACCCTATACCCTAACCATATTATATCCTAAACAACGAACCGTCAAAGATTACTTATCAAGTTTAGTATAGATTGTTGTAACTAATGGTTAATTTATTTATTAGCCCATAAACAATTACATACATACATACATATATATATGGTGACTACTTCGGTGCACTCATAAAAATGAGTGCGTTCAATACACCCAACTCAAAAATTAGTCTTAACGTGTCGGATTTTGAATTTTAATTTGTAGAATTAGTGTAATATGATGATATAACATATGATAACAACTAATTAGTGGATTACCCTAAGTCCTAGACCTCCAATTTTGAGTCATATCCCTAAACCCCAAATTATAAACCCTAACCCTAACCCTAAATCTCTAAACTCTAAATCTTTCAAATTAAAGTAAATCTTCAATTAATTTTGTGCAAATTCATGTGCGTTATTGTTCATCACATCATAAGTGATGATTGACATCATTTTGACATAAATCGCATGTTTAAAATGACGGTTTTGAAGTGAGTGCACTGAATGCACCCGAAAAAGTGAGTGCACCGAAGACGCCACCATATATATATATATACATTAGCCTTCAAAACATATAAGAATAATTTTAACTAGTCATGCCCTCCATATAAAAGTTAAAGATTCATATTTCAAAAGCTAAAATTATGAAAAATCAAAAAATTGAAAACACCAAATTTGTTTCCTTCTTTCTTTTCACAAGAATACTAAAATTTTCCTCCTTTCTACTTCCATGCATTAGAAAACTCAATTTTCCCTCCTCATTCTCTTTCATAAAATTGAAAGACCAAATTACCCACTTTTTTTTTTGGTAGAAAGCAGACGCAACTGCGTCCTATATCATATCATTAATCAAATGATTCCTGGAAATTCCAAATTACCCTCTTCTTTCCTTCTACAAAAAGTTGAAAACTCAAAATTTTCCCTCCTTATTTCTCTTTCATAATCAAAAGAATCAAACTTTCCCACTTCTTTCTCTTCCCACATATCAAAACCACCAAAATTCCCACTTGTTTCTTTTCTAAAAAATTCAAAAAACCAAATTTCCCTCTTCTTTCTCTTCCCAAAAACTTGAATACACCAAAATTTCCCTCTTCATTTAAAAACATCAAATTACCAAATACATTACTTTACTTTATTTATATTTAATTGATAATTTTATTGAATAGTTAAATTAACCAAAATTTTAATTTATATATTATATTAATATTGTCATGATCTCAAGTGACCTTCATGTTTCAATTTTTGTAATTTTCTTAAAATACGTAATATCAAGTGAGTTTCATATTTTTTAAATTTCCTATACGAAATGAAAAAATAATTTTACTTAAGTTTAGAATGAAAAACTTTATTTTGAAAAACTATGTATTGTATATTTTTATAATTATTCAAGTGGATTAGATGAAATTCGGGTTGAGTCGGTCGGGTTACGGGTTAGTCAGGTTCGGGTCAATCGGGTTCGGGTTAATCGGGTTGTGGGTCAGTCGGGTTGCGGGTCAATCGGGTTCGAGTTAATCGGGTTGCGGGTCAGTCGGGTTGCGGGTTAGTTGGGTTGCGGGTCAATCGGGTAGTGGGTCGGGCGGGTTACGGGTTGTTGACTTTTAGTCAATTCGGGTTGCGGTTCGAGTTGATCGGGCGGGTTAATCGGGTCGGGCTATTTTTTTCCCTACATATTATCCATACATAAAACACTAGTTTAGAAAATTCAAACATATCACAATTACACTAAATAAAAGCACACAATTTTTTATTTTTCGTTCATTCCCTTTTTGTTTGTGAGAGAGCAGCAAACCAATAGACTTGGTGTGTTCAACTTCAATTATTAATTTATCCCTCAAACTTCTTTTGGGAAAAAGGAAACATTAACTTGGTAAGAAATAAAATTAGGATAAGTTAGATTGGGGGAAATTAGAATTAGAGTAGGGTTTGGGGAGAGTAGGGCGACGGAATAAGTGTGGGCGGATATCCATGCGTCGGCTATCCCTAAACCTAAACCCAACAGAACCCAATGAACAGTGTACCTGATTTTAAACCTGAACCCGACCCTAAAACCGTAAAAATGGATTTTACCCACGATAATCGAGTTGAATCGAGTAAGGTACCGTAGATTCAGGTTTTGTTGCTATTTAGTGCGGAAGGTGTGAGTTTTGAAATGCCTTCTCTTAAGTACAAAGCGAGACGTGTCGAGTTCATGTGGTAAAACCGTGGCTAAATTCTGGACCGGTAACTAGAATGTACTGGAAGGAAGAACATACAATAACCCTGTTAGAAAATCGAAATCCTCAAGACCAATGCTGGCCTCAAGTTCTTCTTCCTCCTCCTCCCCAGTAGCCTGTGGGGGCCGAGCAGCCATTGACGGCTCTGAAACTAACCACGTCATCCCCTTTTCCCCATATGTCGACAATCCAACCCACGTGATCCATTCACTTTTCCTGGAAAAGATACCACCCGACGTGGAGCCTCAAATATCCTCACTTCCCCTTTTCCCTTTCCCTTTATATTGATTGCCACCCAACGGCAACTTGAGAGCATCATACATAGTCTTCATTCACCCTTCTTCAATTCTGTAGTTACAAGTTTGAAGCTTGAGTTTTCTTCTGTGTTAGATTTAAGCAATTCCACACATTTTCGATAAAATGGCCTTGACCTCGTCGACCTTGCAAACAATCTTCTCCAGCCCATCTGTGGCTAGCCGCGCCAGAACCACCAGCTACTCCTTTCCTCGCATAGCAAGCGTTCCTCGTCTGAGCAGAAATGCCGTCTTGTGCATGGCCACTGGGGTAAGAGCTCTTCTTCATCTGCTCATTCTCCTGTCAAATAAAATACTTGTGAATGCAGCGGAATCTAATTGCCGACGATGTTTTGCTTGCAGGATGAGAAGACTGGACAGACCAACGAGCCCGCAGCAGCCGCACCCCCAACGACATCCCAAATCCCAGCTATTCCCCCTCCTCCACCCAAGCCCAAGGTGAGCACCAAGTTCGGCGACGTCCTCGCGTTCAGCGGGCCGGCGCCGGAGAGGATCAACGGCAGGCTGGCGATGGTAGGCTTCGTGGCCGCCCTGGCGGTGGAGCTGTCCAAGGGTCAGGACGTGTTCACCCAGATCTCCGAGGGAGGCACCACTTGGTTCGTCGCCACCAGCGTCGTCTTCACTCTCGCGTCCTTGATCCCGTTGTTCAAGGGGATCACCGTGGAGTCGAAATCCGGTGGGTTAATGACCTCCGATGCCGAGATGTGGAACGGTAGATTCGCCATGCTGGGCCTCGTCGCCCTGGCCTTCACCGAGTACGTCAAGGGTGGTCCCTTTGTGTAATTTACTAATTTTTGTAGACATATGCCTCGTGAAGATTGTACTTGTATGCGACTAGTAGTAAGTAAGTATACCAATGAAATCACTATTTGGTTTGGTCGCCATTTCAATTGTGTTCAATACCGTTAAAAAGTTAGTTCAGCTTACCACAGCTATATAATTCCCCATTCCGATGTTGACATAAAAATGTGTACGTATAAAAATACGCAACAATATAGTATACGTACACCAGAGCTTACTACTGCTCACAAAGGTACAAGGGATCTGAAATTATTAATTAGTGTCCAATACAGTAATGTTTCTCATCCTTCTATACGGGCAAAACTGCTACTCGGATACAATGCATATCGACAGACGACAGGCGGGGAAACAATGAGAAGATGGTGAAAAAATGTTGATCCCCTAACTTCTTATATAAATATTTACATACAAAAGTGACTTGACGATTACCAACATTTACGAAGCAGTTGATGCCCTCACCATCAGACATCCAGCAGAACAGCGTGACGTTTTTTCAACTCGCCATTCTCATGGCCGGTCATCTTTTCACCGGCCTGACTCTCAAGTTTCTGCAAAGTTCACGCCCAAGAGTTTAGTTGTTCAGCATCACAAGTTTCAAAAGGAAATCGCTAATTCGATCTGTAACCAAACTGTTCATCAAAATGGTTAACCAAAACAGATACATACTACCAATGGCAAATCAGGAGGGAAGAGAATTATGGCACTGGGATCGAAGCTGTATCCACTGCATATGAACAAAAGTAGTAATCAGAATACTAGCAGTGAATTGAAGCCGGGTAACTGAAGAAGCCACTCCAATAGTGTAAAGGAGAAGCATAATACCATTGCGAAAAGGTTAGCCGCCAGATGTATGGTGTAAAGAACTCCTCTGGATGACTCTCTTGCTCATACGAGAAATGCAATTGAGTGAACATCTGCAAGATATGTATGGGTTTGCTTGTCAGAAGACGACTTTGTTAGATAACTGACACTAGAAGAAACCCTTGACTAGAGCCGGTTCATACAAAGGGGCACGGCAGATGATTCTGAACAGAATAATTGATTTTTTTTTTTTTTTACCTTCATTCCTTCACCCCGCCACGATCGACAAATGCTGATTATGAGTTGGAGAACCTTCTCCACTGACCATTCACCATCTTCTTTCTGCGCATCGATTCGGCTGTTGAAATGATCCAGAACCTAGCATTTCCAGAAAAAACACTTGTTATCAGTGGGAAAGATCCAACTGATCAACATGTATTGACAACTTGCAGTTCGACATCCTATTTCAAATAGAAACGAGGTTGTTCAATTGGTCACCCACACTCTAGCCATGCGGCTGAAACAGAAACTTGGCTGTCAGACGTCCATATAAAAATCTTAAGACACTGGGCTGCAAAGTCGTGATAAGTTAGGGAGCATACCAGAAAGATATTTTCAATCAATTCATTGAAGCGTGGATGACTTTTGAAAGGCTGGAAAACCTCCTGCCGGTGCATGATGGCGTACACAACCTGCCCACATGACATGAGTACAGATGTTTTCAAATTTCAAAACACAATCTTTTAACCTCCGAAGAAACATATTAAGTTACCAAGATGAAAATATACCTCAGGATTCCGAGGAAGAGCATAGGTTAAAATGGCATTTAATATTTCAAGCACGATTCTCAGGAAATCAGCGTATATATGCAGTTCTGCTGACTGAAACAAAAACACAGTTAAGTCATGAAGAAGACAATCAGAAAGGGAAGCACCAGGGGCTGCTTTCGTATTAGACAGACGATTACCATATCAAGTGCAAGGTCGTTCTCTACAACCGACCCACCCTTCCCTCTCTTCTCATCAATCCTCTCGGCAAGCTTATTGTACCTAAAGTGTGACATAAGATACACCTTCTAAGTAAACCATGACCATATTTAATACTGTTAATACTGTACAAATCAAAACCAGCACCGGATTGCTAATTTTTTTTTTTTTTTTGATAAATTCACAAAATACAAGCAGAAGAATTAAGAGTGACATACTTGCGCGAGAGCATGTAGAACAGGCTAACCAGCCTCTGTGATGCATATGGACTCAAACGATGCACATGAGGAGCCATGTTGGCCAAAGTTGCCAGGCAAGTTGTGTGCAAATAGAGATCCTGTTGAAAATCAAGTTACGAGAATTAAGATGGTCCAGAAGGTTCATGTTCTAATCAGAATGGGGGTTCAAAATATTACAATCAGTATAGTTCGACGATTCATCAGATGATAACTATCTGTTAGTGGTATGGGTATACAATCAGAATCACGAATTCCTGTTATCATTTTTAACAAGTTTACAAACCCCACAATAAAACGTGTTGACAAAAGAAGGAATAAGACACGAGGTTGAACAATGAGTGCCACTATGCTCACTGTGCAATATGAATTATACCTATGAAATAATTATCCTGCTAGAGCAGTAGCCATCTAAAGCCATAAAAAAAACATTGAGCTGATGAGCAAAAACTAGTAACCTACACACACAATCATTGCATAAGGTTGCATCAGTGCTTTGAGTCACATCATTAAACAGTTATGTTATTGCAATCGGTGCATATCATCATTTAGTCATTGGACATAGAATCTTTGACGGTACACGTAAGTCATCAATAAATCATTAGGAAATTCACAAGAGAACAAATGGTCACTAAAATGATTTGCCTAGCCATGATAATAACATAAGTACATAACATTACCTTCAATTTAGAAAGATTATACTTCACGGTCCTTATCAGGATTATCACCATCAAAGAGCCAAGAGACGTTTGATGGAGAAGATGTTCTTGATACCATGGAACACTAGCCAATATCTGCAAGTAAACGAGGAAGATAAACTAGGATCAGAAGCAAATCGAAACACAGCACCAAATAGAGCCACAGGAGGCAAATCATTACCATCTTGTGGATGCTTGCATTAAACGAAGAATCTTGACTCAATATGAGAAGTATAATCAACAAAATGTAGATATGATTAGATGACCTCCTTGAGGTATTGTATAGAGTCTCCAGGATTGGCATCAACTGCAAGTTAATGCAAAAGAGCACACCAAGTTAGGCTGCTGCTACAAAATTGCCAAATTATTGTGAATTTGCCACTTCCAATTACTACGAGGACAAAATCCAAGGATAAGCCCATATTCATACCAATGTATCTACATCAGTTCGCACCAGAACATATTCCAAGAAATCAGAGTTCCCATGCAACAACGAGTAAAGCAATAAAGCTGCTGTTTCACCAGTCAAGCACCTGCAGAACAAATAATCTGTAGTGAATTACTCCAAGACATGCATACTATCTATAATTCTATCCAATCAATGAACGCTAGAGAATATTCACCATCTAACAGCAGTAAAAGGTGTTTAACAGCCTTTAAGCAAGTGCTCTGACTTGGTAGACCAGAACTTGATGCTCTACCAAAAGTCATGCGACCTTTAAGCATAATACATGGTCACTTAGTTTCAATTGAATAACTGCTCTTCATATCTCTATCTCCAACCCCCTGACTATTTTAACTGGTTGTGTGTGCAATGAGTGAGTGGTTCTAACTTCAATCAAAATTGGACTCGATGCAGAAATTTAGGAACAGTTCACATAATGCATGTCAGAGCATGAAAACAAACACAATGCAGCCAACAAGAGAGAAATGACACCTACATGCCAAGAGTATCAAAAAGCGACGCAAATGGCAATCTCACAACTGAAGGATTGTGTGCGTTCTTCTCAATATCCACTCGATCAACTGCAAGCGTATTAGCAAAAAGGTAATTCAAGTACTAAGTCATCTATTCCTTTCGATAAAAGCAGCAATAAAACAGGGAGGTCTCTTACGATCGATATCCCTCATATTCTCCAGTGCTTTGCAGTAAGGGTTCTCGACGAATGATTTTGAAAGAGAATCTGATATTCCACTGTCATCACTTCTATCTGTTATGGACTCGTCTGCCAGGTTGCATTTGCGGTAATAATTAAGAATAAGCAACACATGGAGGCTGCACTCTGCTAACGGGTTCCGTACACCTTGCCCACTTGAACTTACCAAATAGTTGAATGGGAGTAAGACCAAATTAGCTGCAAGTCAACCATTCTAATGTCAATATAAGCATCTTAGGAAAGCAAAAAGAACAACGTCAGCTGAAGGAGTATAAAGCGGAACGGAAAGAAGCATCACAAAGCAAAGAGAGATCACAGAGGTGCTTTATTTCAGTTCCCAAAACAGTCACATCACTGATGCATTTAGTTTTTTTGGGCAATCTTCAAGTGCTTCTCTTTTGTTTTACATTCTCAAAAGTCAAATGTCAAAAGCGAATGCTTTGACGTACTTCCTCTATTCAAATAGAAGACTTCAGCAAATAAGGCTCACAACGGATTACAGATACAAGGTTATTTCGACAGTTATAAACTGACAATAACTTACCAGCAGCGGAGCCCACTCTTTGCAGCACCCCAGGCTGCCCTGCCTCTCCAAATGGAGGATAAGACCCAACATTCAACGAGATTCGAGGCCGCATGATGTAATTGAGCAGCAACCTCTGAACAACCATAGTAACCAAGGAACTTTCCTGCAGATTGCATATAACTATATAAGACTTCAGGATCAAGAAACTCTTAAAATATTTTTTTTATTTTAGGTGGAAAGCATCAAGAAACTTCAGAGCAACAACACTGAGAAATTCATCTTCTAACCTGAGTCATTGCAGCATCAATGAATGGGTTCATATCTGCTGGCCCAGGAGTTGGCCCGTAGAGCAGTTGAGTTGACATCGCAACAAACAAGAAGTTGAGCAACTCCTGATGCAGGCCGCTAGTGTTTGGGCTTGAGCAAACACAAATATATTTTAGGTCGAGGAAGATATAAATCTTGAGGATAGGATAAGCAAATCATAGCTTTACATGTGATACCTGACATCCACCAAACCAATAAACTTGAGGACATTATGCATGACAAGATTTTCAACGTTCTGATCTGCAGACAAAAATTGGAAAGTATTTTAGCCAGGACATAACTGCCAGAAATCAGAAACCTTATCTATACCAAAAAATGTGGAGAAGGGGTATTCATCACCAACATCTACAACTTCAAACGATCAAGATTTAGCACTAAATCACACCATCAGCTTCTAATTTTTCTACAAGTCTTTTACCAGTAAGTTAGCCCAATTCAAATATTGGAAACAGACAACAATTGCGCACTTTTCATGTAAATTCTTAGGACTACAGCAGCCAAAACTCTATGTCAACCACTCCTATCAGCAGTTAATGCCAATAATAAGAATCATACCCTTCAGTTCTCCATCAATTCTGTTAAAATTCAGTAATATGTAGATCAGCTCCATCCCACAGTACATCCAAAGAGAAAAAAGAAAATACACCGACTCACTCACTTCATCCCAGTTGAAGAGAAATCACATAAGGACAAGTTACCAGAGCAAAAACCTACCTATGACGAAATTCGGAGGAATTGGCTCGCTGTCATTCAGTGAAAGATATAGCTCCTCAACACTGTTGCTTTGTGCATTCTCTATTAAGTGCTTGAGAAAGACAGAGGAAATGTATGCTGCGTTGCTAGCCTTCACATACGTGGGTGACGGTGCACCAGAAACTGACATACACTCTTGCAAACACTGCGCCAGGTGAATGAGTATCTTCGCAAGATGCCTGGTGCAAGAGTTGTTTCGTGCTACATGTAAATCGAGCAAAGCAAACAAAGGACACTTTCATCAATGCCAGCAGTGAAAACACAGGACGACAGCAAACGCAAACTACAGTGATGACCAGCAATAACAGTACGCTTAAAATCATATTCAAAGATCCTTCCAGCGAGCCATCCCAATTTTTCCAAGTCAAGATCGCTTGCGAAACATTTCGATTGATCGTCAATGGCACCCTAAATCATCGATTCTACAGGCAAGGAAGATCCCAAGCAATTCAACAATGCAACTGGACCTTTCTAGTAACTTCGGACACATTCTCTACCTCGAATACGAAGTTCACAAAACCGTCGCCAACTAATCAACCTGATACTCTAAACTTCACTACTAATTCCCACTTCTGATCCAAGAAATTTCCCAAGCGGAGAGGATAATAATGCGAGAAAATACTAACCAAACAGCTGACATGCTTCACGAACGCGATCAGCAGGCCACCGCAGATGGAGAGGGAGCTCCAACAGTTTCTGCCAGAAATCTGAACCGAGGGGAAAGATTTCTCACCGACAAACGTTCCAACTAAATACTCCGCCGTTTCCGCAGGACGCGCCTCGCTGTGACCGGGGGAAGAAGGCACTGCTCCCATTCTCGCAATTCGCCGGCGGTGGTGCTTCCTTCTGTGCGTCGGTCAAGCGCTCGGAGGCAAAACACTGATCAGAGACACCGAATCCGGCGATCTAAACCAGCATTGCGGAGGGACAGGAAGAAGAAGAATAGCAGCTGGATCTGCTACACCGGACGGCGGCGGTATTCGATAAAGGTGAGAGAGGCTGACTGAGCTTGCTGGTGGAGAAAGAATGGGACGAAGGAAGGAGGAAGTGATAAATTCAAGGCGTTTGCAAAACCAATTGTCCCTGTGAAAGACTCTGTTTTGGCTTTCGCTTACGACGGGTCATGGTTGTCACGCCGGACCGTGTGTCACTGGTTCAACCAGTATCGGTCATAAAACTGGTATGACCGGCATGATCAATATATAAATCTCCAAGTAAAATGATCTTATCTCAATGAATTTAATTGATAAAAAGTAATTTATTATTTATTTTATGTGTTAATTAATTAGGGGCAAAATTACTGTCTCGTCCACTATTATTTGCTCCAAGCCTCCGACCCCAGTTTGTCATGTCCTCTCTCTCAGCAGGGAAATTTTAATCATTCCGGTGTGGAAGGTGATGCATCATGCATCCCTGTAAGAATTGTCTAGAGTTTATATAAAAAAAGAGTTGTCTAGAAATAAGAATTAGAAAATTAAAAACCAAAACGAACCTTTCTAGAAACAAATCTAATGCAAATTAACACTCTTATTTTGTTTTAATTTTTTTGGATATTTCATTTATAACAAATTAACTTAAACATTGAGTTCGGAATCCATGTTTTAGATATATCCTGAATTTTAAATTAGTACGATACATTTTTTATTAATAAATCTTTTGCTTTAGATTCATGGAAAAAGCCACCTTCAAACTTTCACACGCATTTCATGCCCTATGCCCAAGTCCTGGGTAAAATACTTCTCGTGCCATTAAACTTTTAGAATTGGGGCAAGGATACCACTCAACTACGATTAGGGCCTCGGTTACCTCTCAAGTCAAAGAATTGGTGCCCCGTTTTAATTTTCCGTTAAACCCACTAACGAGGTGGAGAAAGAAAACGGAACTGCCATGTCAGCGCTCCACCTGGTTGCTGACTCATTTTTGGCGGCAAACAAACCCGCCAAAACTTGCTTCTCTGATTCCCCAATTAAATGTCACCCCACCTCTTTTATTACCTCCCTCCCATTTATAATCCAATACTCACCCCACCAGAAGCCTCCAAAGCTTCTCCTTCCTCCCCATTTATAACCCAATACCCACCCCACCAAAAGCCTCCAAAGCTTCTCCTTCCTCCTCATCTCACTAAGCATGTCAAAGGAAGTCGCCTAAAATAGAAGCAACAACTTGGGTCATCTTCCTCTTCCTTCTTCTGTTGCTTGTTGTTGTTGTTCTTCTTCTTCTTCCAATATGGCAGGCTCTAATGGTGTTGCAGGTCCTGCTTGTTGATGCGGAGCACTAGCCTTGCTTCGTACTTCTTGGACAGATACCAATCCAGGGCGTCGATTCTACGGCTGCAGCAATTATGGGGTTTGTTTGTTTGTTCGTAATGATTCAATGAGTTTTGTAGGTTTTTATTGGCATAATCAATCTATTTAAACTAGAGTTTGTTTGTTCGTAATGTATAGGGTCCAAATGCGTGCAACTTTTTCCGATGGGTGGATCCAGTTCTAGACGAACCTGTGAAGCAAGCCATCCGTGGACTACTCAGGAGGGTTCATGAGTTAAGGAGAAGGAATGAACATGCCTCTGGGTTGAGCCAAAACATGAAGTTTTTATTGTTAATTGTGGTGTTTTCAGTGATTTCTTACATAGTTAGAAGTATGTAATTTTAAACTATCCCCTACTCTCGTGTAATCAATGGGATTGAGAATCAATGTTATGATATTCCCTGCTTTCAGATAATCAATGGAAGTGAGACACAATGTTTTCGTATCCCCTGCTTTTGTGTAGTCATGGAACAATAACAATGGATGTTATACCCAGAACCAAAGTTCTATTAAAAAAAATACCACAACCTGCATTGCTTGAAGATGTCTTAATTCTTAACAAAATAGTGCAATCCAGAACATCAACATAACATGTCTCGGCTCAAAACAAGTAATTGGCTAAAAGTTTTGTAGTCTAATGATTCGCTACAAGATTGCCACAAAACATTGAGCTCAAAACAACTGCTAATTGCACAACTAGTCTACTGTCTACACAATGATCCTTCACAATCTCCATTTAACCTTGCTGCTCATGGTTTCCCCTTCCTCTTATGTTGGAGTTTCCTCTTCCTGACACAAAAGTTGGTCTAACACTTCCAGGCCTAGCCCATACCCATTCCCCTTCATGAACCTGAAATGGTAATTTAGACTTCCAAATGAGCACGTTTGTAGAAAACAAAACCAGGTAACAACAACAAGATGTCGTTTACCCAAAAACCCAAATTAGAAAATGCCACGTTCCCTGCTCGTTGAGCATGCATTTGAGTCACATTATTATTGGGCTGATTCAAGGGGAGATTACTCAAAGATACCTTGCAAACCAAGAGTGATATTCTAAGTAAAGAGAGACAAGAGACCACAATGTTCATTTTTAGTCAAGTCAAAATAAGTACAGGAAGAATGTTTGAAAGTGAACTTACTGTTGATCCAGATGTTTGAAATGGAGTAATCAATCGTGCTGCCATTCCAGCTAGGTTTGAATGTCTTCCTTCAGCTCGGTTGATTGGTTCACCAGAATAACATACCTCAGTAGTCCCTCCACTCATTCCAGCAGTCTCTCCGGTCATTCCAGTAGACCCTCCAGTCGTTCCAGACATTCCAGAAGCCTGTTGAGTCATTCTTGTATTCCCTCCAGTCGTTCCAGATATTCCAGCAGCCCATCCAGTCATTCCAGCAATCCCTCCAGTCATTCCAGCAGACCCTCTAGTCATTCCAGACATTCCAGTAGCCCGTCCAATCATTCTAGCAGCCCCTCTAGTCATTCCAGAAATTCCAGCAGCCCCTCTAGTCACTCTAGAAGTCCCTCCAGTCGTTCCAGACATTGCAACAGCCCCTCCAGTCATTCCAGATATTAATAATTGGCCTTCAAGAGAACGAACCTGGAATCTGTTAGCACCACATGGTAGTGCTCTACAACCAAAACTACCCTCCTTTGCAGCATTTATCTTCTTTAGAATTTTAGGACAAAACTGACTCTTGTAGTTCCTCATAGCAAATTCCCTTTTCTTTGTAAATCTAACCATCAGTTGACACCTAATGGTCTCAAACATACTAATAATTGGCTTCACCCTAGCCCCTAAAATGGCCCTATTCCACGACTCACAATGATTGTTCAACAACACATCTGATTTGCAAGCAGTTTCAAAAAATGCACGACACCACTGGGAACTTGGCTTTGACAACAACCACTCATATGCTGTCTCATTATACTCCCTGAACAGTTCTACATTTTTCTTAAACTCAGCTTCATATGTTGACCTAGCAATTGCCCATAACAGGTCTTTTGTGGTTTTGTTACCTGCATGAGCTCGTTGTAAGTTAGACCAGAGGTGCCTAACACAGAATCGATGCTCTGCATATGGTGCCAACTGTGATAATGCATTAACTAGGTAAATGAGAATTATTACTAGATAGCATGTGAGAAAAAATATATGTCAACCAAATCAAATTCATGTTACATTTTGTTTATCACACATAAATGTCCACTTGTCACACAACTCAGGAACTTCTAAGTCTAGAGAAGATGTTCCAGAAACCAAGTCTAGCTGTCTTGGTTCTCCACTCCCACCATAGCATAGGCTATAGGGAAAATACCGTCATTGGCATCAATGCCAACGGCTGAAAGGAGTTATCCGCCATGAAGCGTCTTCAAGAAGCAACCGTCAAGGAAGATGATCTTCCTACAACCGGCTGCAAAGCCCTCCTTACAAGCAGCCAAGCAACAATACATTCTTGAGAAAATGTTGTCCTCTGTCTCTACAAAAATGGTCGAACCAGGGCGGGTTCGATACACCTCAGCACAATAATCATGAAGTCGAGCATACTGATCTTCTGCCTTCCTTCGTATCAAGTTCACTGCATATTCTCGAGCCTTTCTTGCTGTCCATCTCGAAGTGCTATAGTGAAAATCTTCTTCCACCGTTTGAGCTATTGAGTCATTACCCCATTTAGGATAAATTTCAAATCTGAGAAGATACTACCTGGCGATGAATTTGTAAGTGAACCACTTGTGCCTTGTAAGCAGAACACATCCATCATGTTGTAGGGTGCATGCTTTAATGTGAACTTTGTTCCCATCTTGAGAAGGTGATGCCCAAATGTTCCAAGCACAATTTTTCTCACAACAGACCTGAACTCTCGTCGGATCACTATGGGCAAACCTCAATGGGAACTTGTTCTTGATCGAATAAGCTATAATAGCCTCCTTGAAAGTATTTAAGTCCCTGAAAATTTGTCCAACACAGAACTGGGGATTTTCCATATCCCTTGCCGGATTAAACTCTTCTAATTTTTTCTTGTTCGACCCTCGTCATCACTCGAATGGCAGCTTCCTAGATCATCTGAATTCCCACAATCTGTGTCTATATCTTCACCAATATCATCATCAATCATCACATTGTGACTGCCCTTATCATATTCAAACTCTCCTATGTCAAACTCTTCATCACTGAACTCATTCTCAACATCCTTAAAGCCACTATCACCATCAGATCCATCTCCTTCATCTATATCTTCCCTTAAGACTGGACTTTCGCTCATATTGGCTGTCGAGTGGTCACCATCACCTCCACCTACTTCATTTGTTTGTGGCATTGCATTTGGACTAGCTCTCAAATTGGTTGTTGATAGGTTGCCTTCCATATCCTCTTTCTTAATGAGATACAACTCGATGAATTTTCTCCCTTCAATCACCATCTTGCACATAGATAGTAAGTCTTTATTAGACTTTAACTCCACCAGCCCTTCCTTCATATTCATTCCCTCCTTTCTATAGTAGTAAGAATAGTTATTCTTAACCCGAAACTCTTCTATGTTCTTGGTCTTCACTTGCTCTTGGTAGCCAACGTCAGTTAGAAAACCATCTAACTCTAAGAGGGACATCAAATCTGGGTCAACCCAATCCCAATGGTGAACTTTTCCTCCAATGTAAGAGCCAATATCAGCCGATATATACTCCATATGTCCACCATAATGCAGTTCAATTGTGAACTTCTCTTCACAAATCCCTAAATCATAAACAAACAATGTTATTAAAAGACTAAGAGTAGTTTATTGTTACTTATGTAGTTCAACTTGATATATATTGTACTAGTGACATGACAATAGAGGGAAAAAGACAAAAACTAAGGTGTTGGAATCCATGCTAACATACAAAAGGCTCTAAAATGCAAAAGACATGGACCACTTACATACCCTACGCAAACACTATGGAAAGCAAACAAAACCTGGGGACCACTAACCCTAAACAATAAAAAAACCATATTCATCTGGGACATTCCACCATTCTGATCAAAAGAAAACCAAATATGGGGACCACTAACCCTACAATCAAACAAATAAAAGGAATAGAAAAATCTGGCATGCACAGTGTGAATAAACAAAAAGCTCTTCACCGTAAGTGGGCAGAGAATGGAGAGAAGTACACTCTCTTAGGATTGCAGGCATATTGGCCGAGCAAAAGGAAAAGGATCGAAGACGGTCCCCCTTCCCACTGTCGTCTTCTTCTCCGCTGGTCCCTCCTGCCAGATTCGACCAAGTACTACAGTGAGAAAGACCTAGAACCCGACTCGTCAAAAGGGAACCCAATAGTTCCTTTCAAAATAAACCTAAAATGTTTTCCGGATTTCCCCCAATTGTGTTTGCCTCTAAGATGAGTCAGCAGCCAGGTGGGCTCCATGGAGCATTGCATGGCAGTTCCGTTTTCTTTCTCCACCCCGTTAGTGGGTTTAACGGAAAATTAAAACGGGGCACCAATTCTTTGATTTGGGTGGTAACCGAGGCCCTAATCGTAGTTGAGTGGTATCCTTGCCCCAATTCTAGAAATTTAATGGCACGAGAAGTATTTTACCCCCCAAGTCCTAATCTAACTTTACTTAGCAATCAAACAATTAAAAGTGGCCTAGTTAATGGAGTTAGCTTCCCAAGCGTAAATGTGGCCACCAATTAGATTTCCACTTCCGTCATTCGTGGTTGACTTTGTACGGTCCTTGTATGCTTGTATTGTTACACGTCAACAACTGAATTTTACAGCTCATCGACGAATAGATTTGATGGTTTATTGGTCCAATTTGTGTTATGTATTATTGCATAAGCCGTTTACCAATAGCGAAATAGATCCGATCTATTGATGTGAGCAGTTTTGGACCGTTGATGAGAGGACGAGATTCATCATGATCAACGGCGGGGATGGCGAGGTGAAATGGAAGTTGGTGACGCGATTTGAAGGGGATAACGAAGGCGATGTATGTTCTTCAGCGTTTCGAGTTAACGGATAAGATGAAACTACGGAAGGGTGTCAGCAAACGAAGACAAACTTATTCCGTCACTTTCAACGACATGCCGTTCCTTGGACAAATTTTTTTGCGGGCCCGGGTAAAATGACAAAATGGTGGGCTAAAAGGAGTTTATGGGCCTGCATTGACGGTCTTAAACCAAGAGAATCAACACTGTGTTTAAGGTAGTTGGGCCTCGAGGAACTAAAAGTTGCAAGAACGAGCTAGTTTTCAGTACTTCTCGAGACAACAGTGCCCACATCCCTCTATAAATGCAATGCCAAACCCGTCTAATATATTATTGATGTGTGGTTTGTATACCACGTTCATGAGCTAACAACTGAAGCTAATCCCAAGCAAACATGGGTACAACAGACTACTAAATATCAACAACAGAATACAAGAGTTGGGGAGAAATAGTCAATGCCAAATATATGAGATATTGTATTCCTATCAAGCCCCCGCAAGTCAAGCCTCTTAGAGGTGAAACATGGAACAAAATTGCTGAAAGGGGAGGAGCTCTGGAGTCGTCACGTTGGGCACACACCCGCCGCCCCTGTTGGTAGACTTTTTCCGCTTGAAAGATGATGGCTTTGTGTGTACATCTAGGTAGAACTTCTGTGCTCTGGTATTGTGCCGGACAGAGAAAGCTCCCGTCCATGACTGGTTCTCTCTTCTGTGGGTACTCTGTTTTCTGGTCTGGGAAGGAAGGGAGAACAATCAAAAGCAGGGAGGCTTCCAGTACTGTATGAATTTGAAGTTCAAATTTAGAAAAGCTTGATTCTCAGCATTGCTCGAAGCAATTCAGCGCACTAATGCATTCTGGGTAGGGGAAGAAAAACCAAAGGAAGTATTCGAGAACATAAGATAGAGATTTGATTTTTTATTTTATTTTCATCCACTTGCCAGTGCTGGGTGAGAGAAAAGGGGGAACCAACTGGAAGCAAGAAAGGAATCAGAGAGAGGAATAAAGAGACAAAGAATGGCTAGTGCTTGTGGTGAGAAGACGAGGTGCAACAATAAGCAATGATTTCTAAAAGAGCAAGGTCGTTTTTGAGAAAAAATGTGACTAGCAGTTACTCAAAACTCCAAGGACGGGAAGAGAGAAGAATTTGGGAAAGAAAAAAATTGTGGAAAGAAGGTTGGAGAAAGAAGGAAAGTAAGCAATTTGGGAATTGACCGACAAAATTATAGAAAGAAGAAATTCAGTGGTGGCTGCTGAGTCGACATTTCATAAGCAAGAAAGAGGAAATATTAGGGGATTGAAAGAGAGTACATATGGAAGGAACGACAGGGGAGAAGCTAGGCAGCAGTGGTGACCATGCCTGGAGAGGGGATGCGACGGAGGTGACGTTGGAGGCAGAGTCAGGAACGATGGTCGGGATGAATTTGGTCGGCTTGGAGATAGGAGGTATGGCAGCGAAAAAGACGCGGAGATGAAGTGACAACATTGCTAGGCTCGTCGATGGCAGAAACTGCACCGGCGGCTGTAGGGGAGAAATAGAGAGGAGAAGGGGAGACTGGTCATGGCGGTGAGTGGCGGCCGGAGGTAGGAGACTGTTGCAGAGGCGACAAAGGAAGAGGGATTGAATCAGACATGGGAGGTAGATGTAAGGAAGAGGGAAGGGATTGCTGGTGGGAAAGTAGAAGCATGTGATTGATCTATGAAAGGGAGAAGCGACCGGATGAGTTTGGACTCATCCCGCCAACGAAAGAGGAAAAAATTTGTTTTAGGGTTTCTAATATGTAGGCTGTTAATCAAGAGGCTCTAATACCATGAAAATGCAATGTCAAACCCGTCTAATGTGTTATTGATGTGTGGTTTTTATACAATGTTCATGAGCTAACAACTAAAGCTAATCCCAAGCAAACGTGGGTACAACAAACTGCTGAATATCAACAACAAAATACAAGAGTTGGGAAGAAATAGTCAATGCCAAATATATGAGATAGTTTATTCTTATCACCCTCCACTTCTCTGCTGAGGGCCATCTTCAGACACGCTGAGTTGGACGATGAGGCCGTATAGCAACTGGTCGGGTGTAGTGATGAAAATGGGGCGAGACAGTTACGTCAATATCCATGTCCCGTCCTACGCTGTTGTAGGCCGGGATGGGTAAAACCTGCCCCGGGTACAGGACAAGGCAGGTTGACCCGCTCTTACATGGTAACTTGTAAGATGTGGGTACGATAGTTGTGAGATAATATAAAATCTTATTTATGAGCAAAAATGTCATCATACCACTATCAATCATATCATAATATTACCATATAATGGTCAAATGGTGATGTCGATCTTGTCATTGTTGTAATATCATAATACAATACAACATTGATATAATTACAAGTTACAACAAGTATGTACCGTGCTGTTTTATTAATATTTCTCACATATAATAAAGACAATATCATTGTATATATTATAATTAACGTGTTCTTACTATGCAAAACTTCGCATTTCAAGTAAAAACGAAGAAAATATGAGTCAATTAAGAAAAATGAGAAACTAGAAAAAAACAGTTTGACTGGTCAATAATATCGTATGTCTCATATTGAATGTGAATTTGTATCACAAATAAATAAAAAATATAAATTGGTGCAAAAGTTACCAGATTACATCAAGGAGTTGGTCTAGAGGTAATGTAAAAATGAGAACATTCTCTACACCTGAATTTAAATCTTGCAGCCAACCACCAATGCAAAAAGAACGCCCCTTCTTTTCCCTATATTAAGTGCCAGCTGATCGACGGTTTAAGATCTCAGTGTTGCAAAACAAGATCTGCTCCAAATATTAGCTCACGAACGGGGTAATAAAGAATTTGTGCGATTGAACCTAAAATTAGCTTATTTCTTCCATTTCAAGTACTTATGTTAATATCCTAGATTACGCTAAGTTATACGTAACACATCCCTCCAATTCCAAAGAGAGAACAAAAAAAAACTACTATAGGTTTGCGGATACAGTTCGACACTGGCACTCCTTGGCGCCTATACTTTTATCTTCAAGCAACACTCCCTCTAACACGATGATGGGACTGTGCGCAAAAGCTAAAGAAAGTTAGGTTTCAGGGTGGTCATACTTGGATGGTGGGGTCGTTCTTAGTTTTTACACATAATAAGAGGGCCAGAAATAGGAGCTGATCCAGCTCACCCAAATTTATGATCCCACTCATTAACTATAAAAGAGTACTGATAGATTTTCCCCCAAGTCGAGGGAACTTCCATATCTGGACATCGTTGTACCCAGGGGCGGACCTAGGTCTATGGAAGGGGTGTCGTCCGACACCCCTCCGCCCGAAAATTTTGTGAAGGACCTATATTTTTTCGGTATAAAAAATTTTAATTTGAGACTTCCGACACCGCTCCAATAAGTATAAGCGACACACCTTCATTATACGATAATAGTTTTAGTGTTATAAAGTTATTCATCATAATTAGTCATTAACAATAATAAGTAAAATCAAATAAGCATGATTGTTTTAAGTAACCCACAACCCAATTTAACTTGTCAATTTGTAGTTAATAGGTGAAATGGGTAGATTTATGGGAGATTGTGGTTTGATTTTGGTTAATTTGGTAGAACTAGAGGAAAAATGTTAATGATATTACTTTAGGCATACTTTGTTTTGTCTAAAATTGCCAATTGGTAGATCGTGGTTTACTATATTTGATTATAAACTATTTTAT